TAACAACTTGTATTGACACGCGGCAAATGTGTGTGTGTGTGTGTGTGTGTGTGTGTGTGTGTGTGTGCGTGTGTGCGTGTGCGTGTGCGTGTGCGTGTGCGTGTGTGTGTGTGTGTGTGTGTGTGTGTGTGTGTGTACCTGCAATGTTGCAGAGCGTAACATTGAAGTTATCTACCTGTCACCCATGGACGTTGACCAGAATATGAAGGACTATAGCATGAACATACTGAAAGCCGCCACACTGTTTGAGGAACACCTTATCAAGCAGTACGATCCAGGTTAGTTTGCAGACCATACTGCAGGAGCATAGCTGGTCCCGCTTTGGGGGGGGGGGGGGGGGGGGGAGCGGGCTACGTACCTGATATTTCTCGTTAGGGCTGAAACGATCATTCAATAACTCCTAACGGTCAACCAATATCATTAACGATCGATGTATTGGTTTTATCGATTCTTGTCGGCTCTACTCGTGTACCTCGCACACCAGTTTATGAAGAAATTCCATGATACCTCTGGTATATTAGAAATTTGTGGCACCGCACTGTTGACATCGGTGGAACTCTGGCTGGTTTTATCGACATGAACTAGAGAATTTCATGTTGATTCTAGAGCAAAGAATCTTGTCATCACCCTCTGGCAACTGCTCTTTATCTCCAACCTCTCGCACAAGTAGACCAAAAAGACAAAGTCTTCACTCCCGATCTCTTTCAAAGCCACAAATCAATTTTACCGCGCTTGGAAGTACATAATTGTACTCGTATTCAATATCGGATGGAGTGCAAGGGCTAGAATACTGTCACTGATATGCATGCATAATTAAATCGTTAGCACTCGTTTTGAACACTAGCGATTATCGATTGCACTCTTAACGATCGATATGCGAGTTATCGGTATAATTGTTTCAGCTCTACTTCTCGCTACATGACCATGTTGTAGAATGAAGGAACATGATAGCCCCTGAATAGGCGCCCGCAGCCTTTCATCATTCCTTAATTATATATCACTCAGTCAATCAAAATGATGACAAGGGAAAGTGGAACGTGAGGCGATGTTGGTCACGCTGATATTGCTCGCATTGGATCCATTGCTGAGTAGGAGCATGCTTGGGGCGTCAGATCGACTGCACCATAGTTTAGTCAGGTGTTTGTTGGCAATCACTTATTACATTGAGCACAGACTGGTTAGAATTGACATGTTTGAGTTCCTTTTCAGCTACGGCAGTTACATTTAGTTGCCATTACCCCTACTGTGTAAAGCAAATACTGAACGAAGCTAGCTTGTGTAACGCTGTTCAAATTTTAAGACCCAGTCTTACCCACGAGCACGTACCATGTTTTCCGAAGTATAAGCCGCACTTTGAACACTCAAAATTCACCCAAAAATTGGGGGTGCGGCTTTTACACCAAAAAAAACAGTAACTATATACATTTGCCTACGATATGCCGCAATTCTGATATTTTATGATGTTCCCTTTTTTTCAGATACTGACCCTACGAATACGCAGCAATCTGAAGAAGATAGAAACGCACAGCAGAACGGAGACGAAAATGACTCAACCCCCAGACAATCGGAATCGTCAGAGACGACCGACGTGCACGGGGAGACCAACCAGGACGACGGCGACGAAAACGATGAGCAGGAAGAGGAGAGGAAGCCCGTCAAGCGGCACAAGCCCGGGCCGGCAGATGCCATGTTTCACTTTGCGCGCGACGAGATCACCCGACCGCCACCCAGCGTAACCGATACTATAGCTACCGTTCCAGCGACCACCGGACTATTCAAGTCGGTTGAAACGCGGATAAGATCGACTGTAGATGAAGATGAGAAATCTGACGATAGCAGTTTAGGGCCTTGGGACTTCGTTCAGCCCACGGTGAAGACGAAGTCGGATCGCAACCTCATGCAGAAAACCTGGGATCGCTTCAGCGTCATTGTGCCCAGCAATCTGAAAGCTTTCGAGGTGAGCTGGCAGGTTTTCTCGATGAAGTTGCCATCACGTGTGTGTGGGGGGGGGGGGGGGGAGGGGTGCGTTCATCGTTACATGGTTGGCTGTGTGTGTGTGTGTGTGTGTGTGTGTGTGTGTGTGTGTGTGTGTGTGCGTGTGCGTGTGTGCACATGTACGCATGCATGTACGTTGTGTGTGGGTGCATCTGCATCTGCATCATATTTACGAGAGTCACTTCTACACTTCTAGTCTGTCACTTTAAGAAACCGGCTGAGTTCAGACCAGGCTGATCATCGTCGTGGTAACATCTTTCGTGACAGAGGTGCAAAATGTGACTTTGCCCAGTCTCACTGTCATTGACTTTGGATGATTCGAAAACTGGAGTTTGGTGCACGTGTGTGCGTTTGTGCATGCACGTGTGTGAGCACGTGGATGTTTGTGTGTGTGTTTGTGTGTTTGTATGTTTGTACATGTATTTTGGTGTTCACTGCATTCTGCTTATCTCTGTGTTCAGATGAACAACTTCCCCCTCAGCATGTCCGTCATGTACAGTGCTTTCACTATGCGAAGGTCAGCGAAAAAAAACAATAGCTGGGAAAACCCCACGCAGCTGGGAAATCCCATTCAGTTGTGAGAACTCCACTCATTCGGGGGAAAATCCCACTCACCTATACTGCAGTGCAAATATCATTCTAGCAGTGATGTCACCCATGATGCATGCCATTGTTATACTACTATGTACCCTGATGGGCATTGTTAGGTGAAGTGCAGTGGGGAGGGGAGGTGGGAGGGGGACGGGGGGGGGGGGGGGGGGGGGGGGTAAAAACTATGATAAAGAGCACGAAGTATCAGTTATAATAGGCAGAGTATTGTTGGGTTCTTTCATCTGTACACTGTTCTTTGCCTTTGGTACCAGACAGCACTGCACTGGCCAATGGATCCGCACTCCTGGTGTTGGTGATGACACGTCACCTGCTGACTGGCTGCTGCATGACTGACTCGCTGCTTCTCTCTGAGGCACACAAGAACCGCATCGAACCAACCACTCACACACACGCACACACACACACGCACGCACACACACACGCACGCACACACACACACATTCACGCACGCACGCATGCACACACACACACACACACACACACACACACACACACACACACACACACACACACACACTCTCTCTCTCTTTTTCTTTCTTTCTTTTCTTGCGTTGATTTCCACAGGCTGCAATTGCTCACGGGCAGTTTTGAGGCATATATTGTGCCGGGTGTGCCGTGTATGGCTGATGTTCATCTGTCTGAAGTTCTAAGTAAGTGAGCTGGCCAGAATGTAATGATTACTGGAATGACAAGAGACTATAACATACAGCAGTGTGAATGTAGCACATCATGAAGGTGTGAGTACGACACATGCAGTGATGTGTAGAATGCAACTTATGACAGCTAGGTGGTGTAAGAACAACGCAGTCACTATCACTACACATCTACTCCCATTATCAGGTTGGGTGTATGCCATAATTTCCCTCTCTTTCTTCTCCTAACACTGTCTGTCCTATTTCTCTCCGAATGTACTGCATGTCCCCTTTAAAACATTTTCACTTTATGCACCCGTGTCTTCTCATTCTCGGTGAGTGTGAGTTTCATGTCCCCGTAACGCCGAGACCTCAGGTAGGCTGACTGCAACCAGCTTCACCATCACTATGCTCTAGTCATGCATTTTTTTGTCTTTGCCTGTAAGCTGTGATCGCACTAAAAAATAGACGTGCGTGCGTGTGTGTTCGTTGGTGTGTGGGGCTGTATGCGTGTGTTTATGCGTGCTCACATGCGTGTATGTGTGTGTGTGTATGTATATGGCTTGATCATGGTAATATGGATATTAGAGAGGTTAAGATGCACGTTAGTTCTGACGTGACGCGAAAGCTCAGCTCCTGTTATTTGGCTCGCGCGTCGAAAAACAACGCGAGTGACCTGCAGCTCACGTCGAAATTTGGAGTTTTACGCCAAATTTGACATGAAATTGCGCGTCACGTCGGAAATAACGTGCATCTTAACCTCTCAAATGTCGTGTGATGACTTTCTCCAAACTACCTTTGTCTAATCTTTCGAAAGCATGATACTCGGAGTTGCAGTAGAATGTTGGACCACCTTGACTGATAAACTTTTCTATGCACTCGCAGACTCCATTGCAGCCATTCACACATTACAGGGTACCTCACTTCAAACTCTCCAACTACGGCCTCTTCGCTGCATAAGTTCACTTCACTTCCAAAATAAATAAATAATATTAGATACAAATGGAATGCACCAAATTTTCGGGCATGGCCCATCTTCAGGATGAAAAAAACCTTGACTGATCTTGTCTGATTGCTCTAACCCTGTCTATACATGTATATCAGAGTTGCCGGTGCTGGCTCCGGAACCGTCGATGGTACTCCAGTACAACTCCAAGTCCGGCGGCAGAACGCTCTTTGAATACGCCAGCGTAAGTCCCCTGCCGGAGCGTGCACAGGCGTGGTCTACCTGTTCCCATTGCTGTGGGAGTTGAAAATATCATGAGTCGTATAAAGTTAATGTTAACCGTTTGGAAAATTTCCCCATTCAGTATGCAGAAAGTCTAACGACCGTGCCGTTACACGCCTCTTTCATTTCTCAAGGACAGCAGAGAGAAGAAGAGAGAGAGAGTGCCGTCTCCCTGCAAGTTACAAGTCCCCGATGTACATGTCCATGTCAGCTGCATTGCTGGAACCAGCGGCAGATCAGTCGGGCCCCGCCACCACTTTCCGCACATATGCGGGAATATAGTGGACTTTCGCACAAAAAAACCAAAAAAACCCAAAAAACTGTCTTGGAAAACCTGTAACTAAAGACCACCGTGACCAGCGACCAGCCTGTTACTACAGACCACTTCGCCAGGTCTCACATTCATATTACGGTTGTGCGGTACAAACCTCTAACTAAGGACCACCTGCCACTAAAGACCGCTTTCTCTGGCCTCAAGCCGGGGTGGTCTTTAGTCACAGGTTTTACTTTACATGACAGCTGCATTGCTGGAACCAATGGCAGAGCAGCCTGGCCCCGCCACCACTTCCCGCACATAGTCGGGAATATACTAGACTTTTGGTTGATAAATATGATGGTAAAGACACGCCTGGCAATATGGCGGTAAACCCCCGCCTGCCCACACACGCTCTCTGAGCTGCAAAGTATTTACCAACCATAAGTACAGGTGCAGTGGTGTCTTCAACTTCGTATAGTAGACTTTCAAAGCAGGGAGTGGTGCTTTCTTGCAGGTTTGCCGAGTCGAAGGTTCAATGGACTTCTCGTGTGCTCTGGATGGCAGTCGTGAGTCAGTCAAGTGTCAAGTAAAGTCGGCGGAATAGCGCGAGCTCCGGTGTGGGGAGCAAACCCTTTCTTACAAATCATCGCCGAAGTCGCAACCACTACTTCGTATAGTAGACTTTCATACAAAAAAAATACAAAACAAAATTGTCTTGTATGTGATTGTGTGTTCAGGTTGCCGTTGCCCCTGGCGACAAGAACATCTACACGGAACATCAGGTGTGTATCACTCACCACACCTTGTGACTAGCATACACGTGTCTACTTGTGACTAGCATACACGTGTCTACTTGTGATTGATTGACAACATGTAACAAGGTGGAGAGACCACCGTGTTCGGAAACAGTGACCTCACTACAACCATCCGCGGTTGGTGGAGCCCCGGTCTTTACGACCATCTGAACCGTACGGGTGTTAAGCCTGGTTCTGACACCCGTACGGTTCAGATGGTTGGCAGAGACCGGGCCTCTACCGACCACGGAGGTTGTAGTAAGATCACTGTTTCCGAACGCGGTGGTCTCCGCCTTGCTACATGCTGTCAACCAACGACATGTTTTCAACAAAACAAGGCTTATCTAATGCCATGTATCTACTTGTGCCCAATGCTGTAGACAGCAAGCTGTTTTGGCCATCTAGGCCTCATCACTACAGCTACGAGCTTTCAGTTAACCGGGCTAACGGCCATCGTGCAAAGGTGACACCCCTGGCATTTTAGAAGACAGCTCGTCGCTATGGTGCCAGAGTGCTCCAACTACAAAATGTAGAGAATCAATGCGGACATGCATCTTCATGTGTGTGTGCTGTGTGGAGAAAGCCTGTCTTTCTAGACTACCTGTTTTGAGAGGCGACCTGTTTTGAGAGGCCAGTCTTCTCAAGCCCCACGCCATGCTTTGTCATGTGGTACAACCTGCCTTGAGAGACTACCTCAGTACACAGAGGCGTGTAGCACGGCCGCTGGAGGTGCTCCGGCTAGAGGGTGGTCCGGGGTGTCCCCGTTTTGAAATTAGGGTGCAAAAATCCAGCATGCTGGGCACTTATTGCATTGTGTTAGAAAATGTGGTCCAAAGCCGGACCGGCCGCTATGCCCCTGACATATCTGAAAGACTGGTGTGCGTGCGTGGTTGCTTGTGTGTGTGTGTGTGTGGTATGTGTTGGCTTGTGTTCCCACCCACAGCTTGCGAAATCTCTTGCGAGACTGGTTGTACAGAACCCGTTTGTCACTCGCTGGCTTGTCAAAATCAATGACGAAGTGCAGGCTAGAGGCATAGGTATGTACAAAACATTGGAGATGGGAAGATTTTGCTGTTTAGTCAGCTCACAAGTCAGTAAAGTCAAAACCAGTCGATGTATTTCACTATTGACTGATGTGCCGATGCTAATACGGAGCAGTTCCACTCTGTGAGGTTTTTTCCCATTTGGATTGAGCTTCCGGTCAGCTGTGTTGCCTTGAGCAAAGATGGAGAAGCTGTTACGCCCCCCCCCCCCCCCAATCCTCCCGTCGGTATTTAGTTGATACATACACATACATGTTTACGTGGAACAGCACAATATCTGCTCAGGATCTGAATTGATATTGAGTAGGTGACTTTCTTGTTCCCATGGTTACAGTAAAGTTTTTAAAAAGAGTAGATGTTCGTCTCCGTTCCTGAGGGGAACTGATGACGGACGCTAGCAACGAAAACATCTCAGCATAATCTTGATATGGTGTGGCTACTGTGTGTAGCAAGAAGGACCTATGAGTGTGTGTGATCCCCGGTAGCCTAATCGGTAGGGCACTGTCCCGGAAAGACAGGGGTGCTGGGTTCGAATCCCGCTCATGGATCCTTTCTTGCAACATGTGTTCTCAGCATATCTGGATGTGTTGGCGTGTGTTGTTGCTATGGCTACTGTGTTCTCAGCATATCTGGATCTCCCGGGTAACCTGCCCAGCTATGCATGGCTAGTGCAAGAGGCGCGGCGTTTTGGTGACAAGTGGAGCAGACCGTGGGCTCAGGTACGATGGTATGGCCCTTGCACTGTGTGTGGATAGGCGCGTATCACCACCGCCTTTGGAGGTAGTCCGGGGATTTCCCCGTAAAAAATTTGAATTTTAATAGGGTGCAAAATCCTGCATTCTGGGCACTTTTGGCATTGTGTTAAAAAAAGTGGTCCGGCTTTTTCGGCTGGACCGGCTGCTACGCCCCTGGTGGAGGGGGCATAGGGGTGTGGGGTGAGCGTGTGTGTGTATTGTGTGTATATGTGTGTGTGGTGTGTGTGTGTATGTGTGTGTGTGTGTGTGTGTGTGTGTGTATGTGTGTATGGGGGAGGGGGTATAGGGGTGTGGGGTGAGTGTGTGCGTGTGTGTGTGTGTGTGTGTGTGTGTGTGTGTGTGTGTGTGTGTGTTTGTGTGTAGGTGTGTGTGTGTGGGGGGGGGGGGGGGGTTGCGATGGGTTCGACATTTGGTAATAATGAAGATGATCCCGGTTCCGCTTGTGTTCTGGACCTTGTGATGTGTGCACGTAATTATGTGTTCTTGGGCACATGTGTTTGTGCGTGCATGCGTACTACGCAATGGACAAGGACAAGGTCAAGGCATGTGTACGATAATCTGTTTGTGCGTGCATGCGTGTTCGGGTGTCTGCATGTGTGCGTATACGGCGCGCGTGTTTGTGCGTTCATGCCTATGTACACGAATGTTTGTGTCACAGGAGCAAGCCTTGAACCGTCTTGACATGGAGGTGTCAGATCTGCTGTCTCTGCATCTCAAGCCGGTTAGCCAGGCAATCTATCCTGATTTCAACTCCTTCATCGCGGCACTCTCCGTCCGAGGTGGGTTTGCATTTAATACTGTATTAAAGTCAACAAATATTCGCCGCATACTTATATTCGGCTATTTTCGGCCTGGTCATGTTAGGTCGAAAACTTGTTGCGGCCGAAATTTCGTTCTGCAAGGTTCAGTGCGACAGTGTATATAGGCAGCAGCAGTACAGGCCGAATATTTAATGCAGCCGAAATGTGTGTTTAACCCTGGGAGGCGGAAATTTTGTATGGGCTGAAAATCTGTACACTTACAGTAACATCGTGTTTGCCTTTCAACTCCTTTTTTTTTTTTTTTTTTTCCTTTCATTTCAAAGTACGGTGGAGCTCACTTAAGTAAAGACGTCCTCTTGCTTGGTGCGGACATTATCCGGAGCACGGGTGTGTTTATCCATACTGGAGTACACGTACACGTATGCTAGGATAGTAAGGGAGCATCTCATAAGTTCGCATTTATTTTGCAAACGTAACGCATTTCGAATAGACTTTACCCCCCCCCTACCTCCCCCCTCTATTCGAAAGTCTTATCGCACATTTTCTGTGTTTATCTACTGTATACTACATGTACATGTACACGTCCATGCCCCATGCTATGGTATGCTTATGTACATGATTGTACATGTACATGGATATGGATATGAATGTTTTGCTAGAGCGGTTGTGAATGGCATACAGTAGTACCGCATTTACTGAGTACAAGTACAATCAATGACATGTACACGCACATAAACATAGTTCCTCCACAACAACTGTACTGCTGTAAACGCTGGCCAGGCACATGTACACGGTTTGATCAGGCTGGTGTGACATTTGACACCTCTGAGTAGCCTGCATGCATGAAGTGCAAGGGTTAGCTGATCTGCAAACACAGGTAGATCTCCACCTAAACACACTCATTTGCTGCAGGGATCTAGCATGGTAGCAGATTGCACAGTTCCAGAAAATGTGCGAACAGTCATTTTTCTATTCGAAAAGGGCGCTACCCCCCTACCCCCGTTTCGAAATGCGTTACGTTTAGAAACAAAATGCGAACTTATGAGATACTCCCTAAATAGACATTCCTCCTATCCATCCGGGGTACATCTTCCCAGAGTACTGTAAATCAACTAATTTTCGCTGTCGATTTAATTTTGCTGATTTCGCCGCTGGGTACCAACCAGCCAAAGTAAATCGCAGGTCAACATTTGTCACAGAGGCAAATGATGCGTTACTGAGCCATGGATGGCTGCATGTGAGAGCAACAAATACCAATCGATTTCTTTTTGAAACCCCAATCGGCCAAAGTTAACCCTTTACCGGTCTACCATAAGCGTACCGATACTATAGTATCGGTACGTTTGGCCCTCATTTTTTTGGGGTCTTGTTGCTAGGAGACAGCTAAAATGGCGCTCTACGCGTAGCTGAGGTCCAAGGCTTTCTGACGATGTGCAAAACAACCATGCTTACCATACAAATTTTTGCCGTATCGATCGTCTGAAGTTTGTTGAAATTGGAAAAGACGACCGTCCGCCATGCGCGCATTTCAAGAATGCGAGTGCATCTCTTGGGGCCGTGTTTGACAAGCGTTCTGAGAGCAGTAACATCACCAGTCCAGGCTGGATGTCCCGGGAGGTTTTGCAGTGTAATGTGTTGAGAAAAAGAGCTCCGTTGAGTCCTGCTAGTTCAAAAATATATCGTCCACGAATGAAGAAACAAAATTCTCCAAACAGAGAGGAAGCCTTCTTGCTGCCGACACGGCGACAGCGACTGTCACAAGGACTCGTCAGGTGCGATCAGCTGATTCGCCTGGCCGTGAGAATCACGGCATGCGTAAGCTCGCGCCTGAGTACTCATCTGAGCGAGAGTGAATCTGACGCGAGCAGCGCTGAGATGAACAAACCGAAACTGCGATATCGTGGAATGGGAATTGCTGCTGCTGGCGTATCGCCGATGGCGAGGTGTTGGTGTTCAATGGCGGTATTGTAGAGAGCCTACATTTCTTGTAAAGACGTAGCCCTTACCTGATTGTTTATCGTACGACTTCAGCTCCATCACGAACTTGGTATGCCCTTCGTGCTGTGATATTCGTGTATTTCATTCGCAATTGTATTCTCTCTCAACTTGAAGGGCTACCATGGGCCCTATCCTTGCCTGGACCTAGTCATATTTGAATTTTCTGGACGCGTTCAGGCATACAGATTTTGAAAATATATGGTTTACCCATACCTACATCACATGGTTCTTGAGTTATTGCTGGTTGTGTGTACATGTATTTGCGTGACCACCCCTCACATACATTGAGTTAGACCGGCAAAGGGTTAAATGACGGCCAAAATTTTCATTTCGAGATCGGCCAAAGTTTCTCACCGGCCAAAGTTTCTCACCGGCCAAAGTTTCTCACCGGCCAAAGTTTCTCACCGGCCAAAGTTTCTCACCGGCCAAAGTTTCTCACCGGCCAAAGTTTCTCACCGGCCAAAGTTTCTCACCGGCCAAAGTTTCTCACCGGCCAAAGTTTCTCACCGGCCAAAGTTTCTCACCGGCCAAAGTTTCTCACCGGCCAAAGTTTCTCACCGGCCAAAGTTTCTCACCGGCCAAAGTTTCTCACCGGCCAAAGTTTCTCACCGGCCAAAGTTTCTCACCGGCCAAAGTTTCTCACCGGCCAAAGTTTCTCACCGGCCAAAGTTTCTCACCGGCCAAAGTTTCTCACCGGCCAAAGTTTCTCACCGGCCAAAGTTTCTCACCGGCCAAAGTTTCTCACCGGCCAAAGTTTCTCACCGGCCAAAGTTTCTCACCGGCCAAAGTTTCTCACCGGCCAAAGTTTCTCACCGGCCAAAGTTTCTCACCGGCCAAAGTTTCTCACCGGCCAAAGTTTCTCACCGGCCAAAGTTTCTCACCGGCCAAAGTTTCTCACCGGCCAAAGTTTCTCACCGGCCAAAGTTTCTCACCGGCCAAAGTTTCTCACCGGCCAAAGTTTCTCACCGGCCAAAGTTTCTCACCGGCCAAAGTTTCTCACCGGCCAAAGTTTCTCACCGGCCAAAGTTTCTCACCGGCCAAAATTTCTCACCGGCCAAAGTTTCTCACCGGCCAAAGTTTCTCACCGGCCAAAGTTTCTCACCGGCCAAAATTTCTCACCGGCCAAAATTTCTTGATTTACAGTACTTACTGTATGTAGAATGTTCCTTAGTCACATGGTGGCTTTAAAGTCTAGAAACAATATTATTGAAACCCGGTGTCCTCACACAGGTTGCTCTCTCTCTCTCTCTCTCTTGCTTGCCCTTCCCCGTGTTAGGTGGCGTCATCGAAGCCACTCCCACGTCGTCCACTGTAACCACGGTCACGGCAGACATGTTGCTAACGCCGACGGGCCTGGTGGAGATCCATTGTACGACGGATCAGGTACGGACAACAGGACAGCGCTTGTGTGCAGGAGATGCGATATTCCAAGACGTCGCATCCTTTTTTACCGTACACCTAATACAGACCTTGGGACGTGAAAAGGCGTTTGGTGATCGTGTTCACCAACTACATGTCGTCTCTACTCAGAGAGCATGTTGCACGTGAGACCGTCCATGCCAGGCTGGTCGCCAGTCACAGAGCACGTTGCACGTGAGACCGTCCATGCCAGGCTGGTCGCCAGTCACAGAGCACGTTGCACGTGAGACCGTCCATGCCAGGCTGGTCACCAGTCACAGAGCACGTTGCACGTGAGACCGTCCATGCCAGGCTGGTCGCCAGTCACAGAGCACGTTGCATGTGAGACCGTCCATGCCAGGCTGGTCGCCAGTCACAGAGCACGTTGCATGTGAGACCGTCCATGCCAGGCTGGTCGCCAGTCACAGAGCACGTTGCATGTGAGACCGTCCATGCCAGGCTGGTCGCTATTCACGGTAGTCTTTAGTTGCGGTGGCTTACTGGACTGGTGCATCTTGCTCACCATGAGGCCGCGATCCCAGGTCGGCTGAGTGCACTGCATGCGATATAGGTCTCACCACCCTGCTGCTCCTCACTTATAATACGATTGGAGCTAACAAGTAGAAGAGGATGAAGAGTATGTTGTGAGGGATTCACCCAATAGGCGATCATCAGATATTCAAGAGTGGAGCTATGATCATAACGTGTGTGAGCCCTCGTTTCTACGTTCATTTGCTGTGTTATGTCGATTGATGTTGCGTACAGATCCTTTCGGCTCCGTACGTCTGCACTGGTTACAGCTTACCGCAGACGTCCATAGCGCCGCACACGCTGTACACACTGTGTATGTGTGTGGGCGAGGCACTGCTGCGACAGAAGGGCATGATGGGATACGTCAGCGTGGACTTTGTCACGTCCGTCGACCAAGATACGGTTAGTTGGGAAACCAGGGAGACAGGCAGATTGACGTACGGACAGGAGAGACGGACTGATTGACAGGCGGACACACAGACAGACAGACATACGGATGGACATACGGACGGACATACGGACAGACAGATCGACTGGTAGTTAGACGGACAGATGGATGGACAGACGTGTAGAGATCAAGCAAGTGCTCATTCCCCAATCAATGACACGCCAGGAATGGTCCAGCTAGAACAGCCTATCGACTGTTGTGTCAGATAGACAGACAGAGCGGCAGACAGACCCAAAGACAGCCTAGACACACGAACGGACACACAGGCAAACAGACAGACAGGGTGTGTGGATGGCAGATAGCTTGACTTGTCCATGCCTTTTCCATAATGTTTAACTAGCCATTGTGTTGTTTACTGGTGTAGGCTGATAGTGACTTGATACTACATGGCCACTATGACTCCTACTTCGAAGTATTTGTATGTACACGTTTATCTAGTTTATCTGTATCTAGGACGAAACAATTCTGTCCGCAGATTCAGTATCTACATGTTTACTAAGAATGAGAGGAAACCTCTTTTATAGTATAATTACATGTATGGCAAGAAAAAACGAGTTTTGTTTGACGTTTTGTTCATGCGTTTGTTTTGCACCTACTGATGATATTCCCTCCAGGACGAGCAAGTAATTTGGGGCACGGATCTTAAGTTTCACTACGGCAATAGTCTGTCCTTGTCCAAGCTAGCTATGGCCATGTCCGCCACGGTGTTCAACCCGCGAACTGGCTGCCTGAGACTGAAGAAACCCGCGCCAGTCAAGAGGGTAAGGAGCGCATGGCATGCGTGCATGTGCGGGTGGGTGTGTTTTGTGTGTTTTGTGTGTGTGTATGTGTGTTTGTGCGTGTGTGTGTGTGTGTGTGTGTGTGTGTGTGTGTGTGTGTGTGTGTGTGTGTGTGTGTAAAGAAAATGGAAAATAGGGATTCACTCTCCAGAAAAAGCCACTTCAATCAGCTGTGTGGTGGATACCAGGCTAGAATTAGTGGCGGTCAGTTCATCAGCCTTGCAAGCTGTTGAATGGTGTAATCCCAGCACAAGTTGCTATGTCTAACATAGCTGTTCGCTTTCATCCCTTCCGCAATGGGCATGTCTGAGTCTGAGTGTGTGTGTGTGTGTGTGCGTGTGTGCGTGTGTGCGCTCGCGTATGCATGTATGCCCGTACGTGCGTGTCTATGTGTACAAGTTTTAATATTTCTACTTTTTTCTTCACACATTTCCTAGCGTGCATTGAGCATGCTCGGCTTTGATCAGCCGTTGCAAATGATTTTGAAGGTGTATAGTAGCATCTTGCCCGGCAGATTCGGAGTACAGACAAATACTTTCAGGCGTTTGCTTGCATTCGTATTCAGCCATGGCACGACTGCAAGAAAAGGTAGGTTTGAAGTGAATGTGGCGGCGCTTGTCCAAATTCCATGTTCCGTGGAGATGTATTTGTTTAAAGTGGAGACGGTTCACAGTGTGAACAGCTTGCCATAATATCGCTTTCTCTGGCATTTCACACAGTTTGTGTTCTCGCCTTTTCTCTCCTTGCGATCACAGGACGTTTTTGGCCCAACCGCCGTGGACCAGGGCAACATCATGCTAGTACCGAGTGACACCACGCCGATGCGCTACGTCGTGATGAGCAACTTGCTGCGCAATAGCAACATGGTACTCACCCAATACTCCGTGTTCTTTCAGATGTGCAAGGGACATCGCATCGGCTACAAGGTCGAGGTACGGGAATGACATAACTGGTACACTGAACGCTGTAGACAGCAAGCTGTTTCGGCCACAGAGCTACCGGCCATGGTGCAAATGAGGCACCACAGACATTTTAAAAGATAGCTCGTCGCTCTAGCGCCAGAGTGCTCAAACTTCGAAAAGTAGCAGGCATTGCGTAATGCAGCAGCACTAGAGCAGCCTACCAGGAGTGCTCGAGAAGACGAATTTCGAGGAGCACAATACCCAATGCTGTGGACAACAAGCTGTTCAGGGCTTAACTAGTATACAATGTAAAGAAGGACCTCCCGGGTTGGGGGGGGGGGGAGGGCGGGGGGGGGGGGGGGTCTCATTTTTCACTCATTCATTCATACTTGATTTGCAGCATTCTCCGAAAGCTTGTGATCGGCAACTTTGCCTAGTGTCTGTCCGAAAGTCCTTATGTGTGTGTGTGTGTGTGTGTGTGTGTGTGTGTGTGTGTGTGTGTGTGTGTGTGTGTGTGTGTGTGTGTGCGTGCGTGTGTGTATGTGCGTGTGTGTGTCTGTGCGTGTGTGTGTGTCTGTGTGTTTTCATGCCTCACAGCAAGGAACCGGTACAGTGCTACAACTCACAGACTCAGTCAAGCGTCACGCAATGGGCATGATGTGAGTGTGATAGGCAGGGAGTAGTGAAATACTGGTATATTAGTACTCCATGATGATAAGCATACGTGTTGGTGACACCCGGTCATTGTCACGCCAAGAATTTTGCCAAAATGTCTCTTAGAACAGAGGCGTAGCCGAGGGTGAACTTGTTTTGGTTCCACGTTAAATAGATTCTGAGCACCAGGTAACTGCTGACAGTAAAAAGACAGTTTTTGTTACAAATTAGCGCAGCAGGGTGGTTCCTGTATAAGCCCCTAGCCGGTAGACATTATGTCCTTTTCAGACCAGACCAAAAGTCCATTGGACTCTGCTACATCATGGATACATTGATATCACCTCCTGGGTGCTTCTTCTCGTTGGTGCCATACCACCATATATGGCATACAACTGCAATTTCTGTCGACTCTAAGAGCTGAGCTTATCAAATTGCTGCTCATTTTGTTTGAAGCTCGCATGTAGCGTGACGTTCTGATTTGCAAAAAAAGCTCCTGGTCTGTCTTCTCTGTGAGAGCACTGTACCACCTGGTATTCGGCACTTCCTGTGAGTTGGACCAAGGAACTACAAGTTACGCTATAATGTCCACTAACACCACCAGTTACTGAACAATCAGCTCCTGCGATAACATTGCACTACACTGACCGACGGTACTGACGTTCTACAACTAACTGGCTAACAGCTCTAGCACATCTTGGATGCGCACTCCAACCGCCTTCCAACTTGGAAGGTCTAAGTTATAGAAATCACATAAGGAGGGAAAGGTGAGCGCAGCCAAGATAATTTATATCTATAACTTAGAACCTTCCAAGTTGGAAGGCTGTTAGAGTGCGCATTCAAGATGTGCTAGAGCTGTTAGCCAGTTAGTCGAAGAACGTCAGTCCCGTCGGTCAGTGTCGAGCTATGTTATCGCATGAGCTGATTGTTTAGTAACTGGTGATGTTAGTGGAAATAGCATAACTTGTAGTTCCTTTGGTCCTTTCTCTTTTGTATAAATTAAACCTTGGCTCTCCATCCGAGTCCATTCATTTGAGTTTAAGAATCATTCCGCCCGCGGTACAGTGACGATGTACGTCACATGCGTCTTGCAAGGTTCTCATGTGATGAGTGATGGCAGTGTAGCGGGTATCGTATTTTCTAGAGTGCGAGCTGCACTTTAAACACTCATAATATATTATTCTTTTCTTTTTTAAAGTCGGTGCGGTGCGGCTTATGCTGCGATGGCCAAATGAGCTGTGATAGTTGTACAGAGTAACTGTCTGGTTCTCGTGACAACAAATATCTCGGTGCGGATTGTACTGCAGTGTGGCGTATACTGTAATTTCACAAATTTTCGTGTGGAATTTAATTTCGTCCTTTTCGTCCAAGGAGCTTTTGGACTACTGAATGCCGGAGCAATGTCGATTTGTCCAGTTCTTCAATACACTCTTGTGATCCATGGACGAAATTTACAGCCGGACGCACTCCCTTTCTTTAGAGTTGGACGAAATTATTGACCGACGAAATTTTCTGCCTTTACAGTACTGTAAAATCACAATTTTTTGGTGTACTTTTATTTTCGGTACTCTCGGTGCGTCTGTTTCACACCTAAAATTTCAATACACCGAACAAACACTAACACACATAATCCAATAGGGAACTGCTTCTCTGTACCTAAAGCTTCTGTTCACCTAACCTGGCCTTTTGCCCTCATACTGAAAATATTGAGCACCGAAAATTTCTGAAATTAGAGTACTCAGGAAAATTCCTGTACCTCGCAGACTGTACTGGTGTACATCATGATGGTACATGTGTGATGTTATTCTCATTGTGATACTAGCTGTATTGACGAGACACTGCCGGGTGCACTGAAGATGTTCACCAGCAACCTCAGCACTATACACCAGGAGATTGCGCCTCGCGGCCGAGACGGTCGCCAGAACTTCACTGTAAGCGAGTGTGTGCGTGTGTGTGCGTGTGTGTTTGTGTGTGTGTGCGCGTGTGTGTGTGTGTGTGTGTGTGTGTGTGTGTATACGTGTGCGTGTGCGTGCGTGTGTGTGTGTGCGTGAGCGTGCGTGAGAGTGCGTGCGCGTGTGCGTGCGTGCGCGTGCGTGCATGTGCGTGCGTGGGTGTGTGTGTGTGTGTGTGTGTGTGTGTGTGTGTGTGTGTGTGTGTGTGTGTGTGCTGGAGCTGTTCTATTATTCATCTGGGCCTACATCACATGGGCGTGTTGCTTGATCTTGGTGTACGTTGTGTTCGTGTTTAATGGCCTGAGCCGTGTGATATCTGGCTGGGCCGGGGTGTACACCAGGATATGCCAGGCATCGTCTAACGTCTTGTGCTAGCATATTGTATGCCGGCATGCGACAAAGATGGTAGGCACCACCTGCCCTCGGCCCAGCAGTCCACAGCTATTGCACCCCGGGGGCCTGCAGCCCCCTACCATCGCACTCCAGGTACTCCACACGCGATTCCATGCCGCTCTGATTGCATACTGCTCTGATTGCCTACTGCTCTGATTGCCTACTGCTCTTGGTGTCTATGTAGGCCATGATCAATGCACTGGAAGCTATCATCAGCGAGACTGATGCAAATGAGGCAGAGGAACACGGAGCAGAGGAACACGACTAGACACAACGAGCAGACAAGTGTGCCTAGAGCAATGTGTCGGCAATCCTCGTGGACACACTTCCGTTGTCGGTTTTTTTTCTCCAAGATTTCGGATGTTTAAAGTAGCCAAGAGCATTCTGAAGACATTGTAATATCCGTGTATGCGTTGCCTTGACGACTGCATTGTGTTCCCTGTGTACCCGTAGTCCCCTGCTGTATATAGCATTGTCCAGCTATATGTGTGTACTGCGTATTCTCCATCCCACATGGACAGCTCTGTATTCTACACATGCAGCTGCCTTGATACGCTTGATTGCAAGACCAGGACCACTTAGAGTTAGAGTATCAGTTTGTTGACTCGGGCCAATTCTCCTGTACATGTACTTCTCCATGGACTACGGTATAGAAGGAAATTTTCGGGCGGAAATATTTTCGGTTTCGACCTTTCGTGCGGATTATAATTATTTTCGCACAGTGCTAGCTATGCTGCATTCTAAATACACGTGTTCGCAAGCAGTGTGCACGCTATACTCGTAGTGTACATATTTTCACATGAACAAATTTTAGTACGGAATTAATTTTAGTACAAAAGAGGCTGTGTACGAAATCGTACGAAAATAAATTTAGGGTTCACGGATTGGCATGCTAGCGTCGCCAGCTACATCATGCACGTGACAGGCGCGTGCATATACTGTCCCACACAATCGGTCAGTGCTCAAATCGCATTTTCCCATCAATATCACTCACTTTCAACTCTACGGGATTCATTACGGTTGGCTCAAACTGCCTGAATTTTTGAATCCAAACGCACGAAAGACGTTCCAAGACTTCCACCGTTCGTATTTTTTCAAACGAGTTCCGGGTTTTCCAGTAACTTTGGCCAAAGTTCGGCTAAAAAAACAGGGGGAGCCGTTGCGTTTCCGTAAAATACTGAACGGTAGAAGGATAGCCAAGGTCGAGAGCAAAACAACAAGCCATTGTTTGTCAAAATCGAACAAGAAACGGCTCAGCGCATCTATTTTCCGTGCACGCGCGCGCGTACTTTGGCCGACAAGGTGTGGAGAATTTCTGAAGAAGAAGAATAACAAGAGCAGCAGCGCTCGGAACAGCCGTGCTGGATACTTCCAATCCCGACGATGGAGCGTGTTGGCTGTCGTGAGCTGCTGAAACGACCATGACATTTCTTTTTCTTTGTATACCCTACATATCTTGACGTGCCCTAGCTCAGTTCCGGCCTCTTTACAGGAAGAATATTTTCTTCCATGGCATCAGCGGCCAAACAGCAACAGATCGAGATTTGCAGGGCAAACAAAGGATGCGTGCAGCTACATCTAGTCAGGTTCGATGCAGCTGCGCTTTGCCAGAACCTCAGCAGATAAGAAAAGACGACAGAGTGTCTCAGATGGAACTGGATCTTTCGCCAAGACCGCCACCGCCGCCATCATCAAGTCCAGGTCAGTCAGAAAAATGCAAAGCCCGAGTGAAGTGAAGCCACTGAAGCCAAGGAAAAATTCAAAAAGTACGCTCTCCGGCTAGACTTCGAGTCGATATTTTTTTACTTCGATAGGCGCTGTCGCGGCCTGTAGCGCGCGTCCATAATCCAAAATGGAGGCGCACGTGACGGGTGCTTTTAGTGGCAAGCCGTGAACCCTAAAATTCCGTCCGAAAATTCCCTGCTATACAGTATATGGACGATGCGTCGTGATCAACCTACGTTGTAGATGAAGTAACTTTGAAAAAAAAAACCCGTCATATATGCACGTCAACACTGTCTGTTGATGCAGCAATAACCAGAGAAATGGTGGCGACGTGCAAGAAGCAGCATTATGAGTGTGCCTGTGCGTGTGTGCACATGTACATGTGCGTGTGTGTGTGTGTGTGTGTGTGTGTGTGTGTGTGTGTGTGTGTGTGTGTGTGTGTGTATGTTGTCCTCAGGCAGTGTTGGGGACGGTTTGAACTTTTTAGCTCTCGTCCTTTGGCAGTTTTTCGTCCAAAGTTCTTTCTCCGTGGGACGACTCTGGGCTTCCAGGGTCGTCCCAAGGGCGGTGGCCCTTGACTGCGCGCGTGGGAGCTCACGACGTCAAGACTGGGTGGTTTCCTGTTGCCACCACTTGTCGTCGTCCTGCGCGCGCCCGTTCGTGTAGATTGGCTCTCTACTCGGACGTCTATCTAGTAAGCCCTTAGTACAATGGCGAGAAAGGAGACGAGGAGAAAGAGGAGACGGAGGTCGTGGATAAAATTTGGCTCGTGGAATGTCCGCAGTCTGGTGAATTGTGATGGCCCAGTTGAGACGGCGACAACTCGAAATTTGAATTTGAAAAATTCAAACCAAGTGAATTGCATCGTGGAAGATAGGAAGATTAACATCGTCGTTCGCGAAGCTCGACGACTTGGTATCGAGACCCTTGGACTCCAAGAGACGAAGTGGTTTGGAAACAATGTATACAATGTTGAGGATGCTGTTGTTGTTGCTTCTGGTCGACCGACACCCGTGGAAAATAGACCGATCCCCTTATTATTGTCTGGGTTCGAGCAAGGGGGCAACTCCGCAGTCGCGTGGGATCCTGCTGCACACACGCGACCAACCTCACCTCGGCTGTGCGCGACTTCTCGCATGCGCGACGTGCAGAGCACGCGAAATCTACATGCAGTGCAAGCCTGTCTACAAAAAATGTCACAAGGACTTTTGATTTGAGCTGTTTTGTTTTTTGTTTAGACGTCTTCCTTTTTACGACTTCAGGATGCCTTCTCAGGATCATTGCTGCGTTCCTCACTGTCAGAACAGGAGGACAAAGCAAACAAGTCATTTCACTCCTTTCCTCGTGTGGAGCCACAGCGGCCTGGAGCGAGCGGATCCAGGCTATGCCCCGTGAGGAAGGACGTAGTTTTAGGGTCACTCTGAATAATTTGAGTTGCAGCGATCATTTCGATCCCGAAATCGAAATCGTTTTGCCCAGCTCTACAAGGGCAGGATGAGTCCAGGAAACGAAACAGCTGTCCTACGGTACCAGGTTTGCTTTTCGCAAGAGAGTGGAGTCTGGACGCCCTGCTCCCCATGCTCGCAAAACAGTATTTGCTGAGCCTAGTGCAGTTCGGTCATGGAAGTGCAACGTCTGCATCACGAGCTCCCCATGCTCCCAAATCAGTATTTTGCTGAGAGGCAACGGTACTTTGAGTTGGAAAGGAACCTGGCTTAGTGCAGTTTGGTCCTGTAATGAAATTGCAGCATCTGCATCAGGAGCTGGCAGCAAGTAGAGCTCGTGTACAGAGTCTCGTGGAGCAGTTGGACGATGTGAGGACTGGGGTGAAGAAAGCCGAAAAACAGCTTACGTACAATAACATAAAGAAAGACTCTGAGCCGCTCCAGTTTCTGACTGGTTTGCCTTCAGGTGTTTGGACCGCTCTGTGGGACTTCTTTGAGCCTAGCCGAGAAAATGTACTGCGCCGCGCCAGATCTGCGAAGACGGAAGCTGAGGTACGGCGGATACAGTTGGAGGTGGCCGTAAATCGCCAATGAGCATGTAATGGAGGATCAGCTGCTATTGGCATTGATGTGTCTAAACCTGGGCCGAATGGAACAGAAGCTGGCATGCGTGGCACAAGTTAATCATCCATTTCACGGTATATAGCTAGCTGAGCTGGAAAGATGTCTTGTTCCTCCGTTTGGGCATGATCCCCATTTGGGCGAGATGTTCAGTCATCAATGCTATGTACCGCAAGACATTCTGCACTGTGGATGAAACAGTTCTATTTTGCCATGCACTTAGGGTTCTCGCACCGGCACGGCACAACAAGACCCAACAGATCCTTGCGCTCTTATTTTCTCCCATGGTAACATTGCTGATCACAACACCCGGTAGCCAGTCGCAGATGCAACCAAATCAACCAGGTTCTGTTACTCTTTTTTTCCAATACTGAAACCAAGGTATACCAATATTTGCATCGAATGCAGTGATGATTTCAATACTGTCCACCAGTACAACGCATTACCAGACTGGCATATAATCATGATAATATTATCCATTTCGCAATCACTGTCATTGCTTTCTTAGATCTCCAATCATCAATATCGGACCATAAACCGTCTATCATCTTATATCATCATTAGTATCCTGCTACTATCCTCCTCTAACGATGAGCTCGAAGAAACGAAACAGCTGTCTGGAGGCGTAAACAATATCTGTCAACGGAAGTGTCCTTGCTGTGCTGGTGTGTTTATGCTTCGTGCATTAGTTCGGCCAAGAGCGCATGGTGGTGGCGGGTTGAGGATGTAGTACAGCGGAGTATGACCGAAAGCTCTGTCACAATGTATTTTATTAGGAAGGTATAGAAACAGAAAAAAACTGTATCTTGATCTTGGGCGTAAACAGCCCGTCTCGCATTAAATAAACTAGAAAATAGTTCACTGTGAACATGAAGTCTTCCTAAGAGAGGGGGGGGGGGGGTATATTCATAGGTTCGAAAGAACCGCACACACACTTTGCTGCAGACAGCGGCAAGCTTTGGCCCTCGTACTTCGAAGAGGGAGCAATCCACTGCGCTACGCTCATCACTGGCTCTGGGGTAATGTTCCTGGAACAAATGCCCCATTGCCGACTGACGGCCAGGGAGCACGCAATCTGCCTTCCTGGGCGAGAAGTGTTCCAGCACAAGAAGCAGCACGAATACATGCTGACAAAGACCACCATCACCACCAGCCGGCACACAGCACACTGTTCTTCAAACACCATCCACTCCTTCCATGTGTTTGCACTGTCCTCCTCTAGCTCTTCACGCTCAACAAATACCACGCACTGCTCATCGTTTTTTTTTAATGCTTCCTCTGGGTTGGCTACCCCTTCGACTTGACAAAACAGCGATCACCACTGCTATCGTCACCTCATAGCAGTCGCTTCCACCAGTGGCTTTTCCTGTCTTTGCAAGGTGTCCAAGGATGGCTGCTGTTGTCACTACAGGCAAATCAGAAGTACTTTAGTGGCTGATGTCCAACCAGATCGTTGGAAAATCGATTTTTCCACTTCAGGGCTGCTGATCGCGACTTGGTGACTTGGCAGCACCACGGTTACCTTCATAGAAGATGGCTCTGGAGAGGAAAAGGCAGACCAGAAAAAGGTTACTATTATCTTCAGCACCGATCTCAAGGAGAAAGAAATACGATCTGCTGTAGCCTAGGCACAAAATAAGTCTCACAACACGATTCGCGATTCGAATATTTCAACAACAAAAAAACTCACCTCAGGAGTAACTCCTGTTTGTGGCCCGAGATCGTTCCCTCCCGCGCCTTGAAAAAATCCTGCAGCTGCATCACAGTCCATGTCTCTCTCGGAGACTCTGCTCCTACCAGCAGGAGGTTCAGCACCGCTCGAAGCCATCGCAAACCACTTGAACTAAGCAG